TTTTTAGGTGTTTTGAGCCGAAGCATGTCGATGAGTTTGGAAGGGGTGAGAAACCCACGGGTGTCTTCAACATTGATGCAGTGAGCGGGGAACTGCGGGGAGAAAGTGACTATGCTTTCATTGAAAGCATCGAAAAGCCCATGAACTACAGAATTCGTAGTTAACGTAAGGTGGCGCTCGCCTAGGCCAGCCGTAAGACGGTGATTAGTCATAAAGACTTCACCAAAGACGTTGGCTTTATCAAGGTCGTCATACACCATGGAGTTGCCATAGCGGAGGTCTGAGATGGACCTATTGGATCCACAGATTTGCCTGACCGTACTAAAGACGTCAGACCGGCACTGAGTGGCACGAAGTCTGGCACTAATGGAATTAAACCTGGATTGGTTGACTCTCTGGGCAATTATGGTGTCCAGGTTCTTAAGAATGGCTTGGAACGCATGAGCTTGCGGTGAAGCTACCTGTCTAAGGCGATAAGTTCTGCGGCGAAGCGATTTCCTCAGGTTAATGAGGAGAAGGGTAGAAGCATCAAGAGGAACTTGATAAAATTTGCGAACACGCACCTTCGGAACATGGTCCTCAATTGTGGAGGTGAAAATGCTTTCAAGAGTACGGGCAGCAAAATCAATCTCCACAGGAGTCATGTTCCTGTATTCGGGAATGCTCAAATTAAGAAGGAGGTGGTCGAGAGCGAGGTTGAATTCCGACCAGTTGGTGTTAGGAAAGTTAAAAAAAGTGCGAGGGCAGGCACGAGCAGCTCTGCAGTCGTGAAGCACAAGCCTTACTGCTTGGTGGTCAGATATGCCGTCAATGACTCGTGGGTCACTAAGGCAGGAAAGGAGGCGATTATCCGCTAAGAAAAAATCAATGATACTATTAATATGAGTCGGAACCGAAGGAGCTACCACACTTAAAATAGGACTGACTGAGCTGCTAGTCACCCAGTTGAATAGCCTAGTGCCACTAGGGCAAGAGGCAGAATTATTCCAAAAGGGGTGCTTACTATTGAAGTCACCACCGATAAGGAAAGGGTTAGGGGACAAGGAGGCAAGGGTGCCCAGATCACAAGGGACAATGCACGAAGCAATAGAGGAAGTGTGGTAGACGCAAAAGATGTTAAGATCAGGGCGGTTGGAGAGAGAAAGAGTAATGCCAACCGCCTCAAGAGAAACAAGTGAAGGGATGTGAATCCTAGAACACTTGAGAGAGTCTTTTGCCAAAATGGCGACTCCCCACCGACGCCGTCCCTATCGAACCGGATAAAATTATATCCTCTGACATCAACAACGTCTCTGTAATTGAGCCGTGTTTCAGTCACAAGAATGATATGGGGGTTTTTGCGTTCAGCAAAATCCGCTAAAAAAGTACGCCTAAGAATGGAGTGTATAGAATTGACATTAATGAGAATGATCTTTAGATCATTCATCTCAATGCCAATTCGAGAACTTTCTGGACAAGAAAGGCTTTCTTGTCAGAATGGGGCAAAAGGCTGTACTGCTGTTTAATGCCTGCAGCAAAGGCGAAGATTCCCTGAATATCAGGGAGAAAGGAGTCAGGCTCAGGAGTACGAATAGGGGAAGATTTAGCTGCTTTAGGCAGCGAAGTAGGCTTGGGGGTTGCAGCTTTTGCCGCAGAGGCAAATGAGACTCCAGGTCTCACGAAATTTATTGGAGCCCTCAGGTCGATAGACATGAGGGGGGGGATTTTTGCGCACGAGTCTTACTGGCGCGAAGAGAACGCAACTCCTTAAATTTGGAGCAGCGGTAGTTGGCCGGATGACCAGTCTGACCACAATTACAGCACTTGGGAATAGTGGCTGCAAGTTGCTCCTGAGTGACTGGGTCGAAAGCAGGAGGAGGAAGTTGACACTCGCCACGAGTATGTGTCTCACCACAGCGCACACAACGATGGGGGTAGTTGCACAGCTTAGCTGTGTGAAAATAGCGTTGGCAGTTAGAGCATTGAGGGATCTCATTGCGAGATTTCTGCTCCAGTGATATAATAATGTTAAGCGATGGAAGCCGCTTAACACTTAAGAGGGATTTAATGTCCGTGGAAGGGACAGGATGAAGTTCCCAAATGCAGGTATTGGCATATCGGGAGGGATTACGCTTTGTGAAGCGCGCGGGGGGAGTAAACTTGGAGACCTTCGAAAAGGAGAACTCAGGTAAGTCCGTCACCAACGCTGACTTCAAATCATCCTCATCATAGGATGAGGGAAAGTTCTTAAGGAGGACAGGAGTGATTCGGCCCTCAGAGGGAATGGAGGCAAAACTCTTAATTTTCTGCTCACGGAGCAGAGAACTGATGTTGTAAAAGGTATCCTTACTCTTAGTAAGGATACGCGTGGTTGTGCTGTTTACGCACTTAAACTCATAAACAGCATTGGGAAAAGCGAATTTAATAGCGGAGCCAAGCTCCTTGACATTGACACCACGGGCCGTAATGGCTGGTGGCGTCGAAGACTTAGTAGCCGAAGGCAAGAGAACAGTAGACGGAGTGGAGGGATTGAGTCCCACAGGGACCTTGGGAGCTAAAGAAGGCTTGATGGGATTAGCGCTAGAAAGAGATTTGGGTTTAGGCGCTGGCTTGGGGAGACTAGAAGTGCTACAAACGGCAGCTGTGGAGGTAGAGGGGGGTGCAGTAGCAGCGGTAATGGAAGAAGAGGAAGACTTTGGTGAGTTGTCCGTGAGCAGAGCCAGCTTAGTGGCAAGGAAGGCGTTCTCAGAACGAGGGCGTTGTCAGCCTTAAGGGCTGCAACGGATTTCAAAACAGACGCAAGTTGCTCATCGACTTGCTTACGGTTTTGGAGGCCAACGACAGTCCTAGATCGTTTCAAAGTGGGGGATGGAGAGATCGGTCTATTATCAGAGCTAACCTTACAGAATTGCGGGTCTCCATCTCCATCTTCCATAATTGTGAAAGAGAATTAGTAAACTCAAGGAGTTAAGATATAATTTAAAAGGTGAGAATAATTTTGGAAGGAAAGGAAAGAATAAGGAAAAATGAACGTGAAATAGGATATGAGTGAGATATATAAATGTAAGTGTAAAATAAATACAATATATACTAAATATAAATTTGAATGTGAATGTAATTTAATTTTTTTTTATTTTTTTTATTTTTTTCCTTTTTTTCCTTTAATTAAATGTAATTGAATATAATTTCATGTAAATATAATTACAAATATAGGTGCTACTATAAATACAGTATAGTACAGATACACTTATGAAAATAAATACAAGTACGAATATAATTAAAGTATAATTATAGATGTAAATGCAAATAATATAATTTCAAATAAACACACATATAACTACAAATGTAAATAAGAGTAATGTAATGAATAATACAAACAATACAATATGTATATATAAATAAATATAATATATATAATATATGTAATACAATAATGTATAATGTAATACAATAGTAAATATAATATGAAGAATATATATAAAGTAATGAAGTTTTTGCAACAACACTCACCAAGAATGGGAGTTGATGTGCAAATTAAATCAGTACAACTCCAAAGGTTATTGGAATGCTTCCTCCAAATACGATTTTTTCCAAAATCGACAGGAAGAATATAACAACACACCAAACAATTCACAAGCAGGATCTTTAAATGCACAAGAACAATGTGCATTTAGCCGAAATTGAAACAAACACGTTGCGCCTCCTCTTAAAGATTAATAAAATCAGTAAGGAGAATACAACTAGTGGATGCACTATCGGCTTGAAATTTTACTAGGTAGATGCGAGACCGTACTGAAAGCGGCCGTAGATAGGTTTAGCTTATCCCGCAATCACGCTATCACGTAAACTCATAAGCTTACACCACAGACACGAACCGCCACAAATCAAGCTATTGAAGTTGAACTCGAAGCACAGCTTACAATGCCGTACTATGACGAGTTGTTTTTTAAGCGAACACGTTTCCAAACACCGCGCCTAAACTTAACAAACTCACAAATTGCTACCACAAGTCAGAAGTTCAACTTTTAATTAAGTGAATAGTTAATATATCAATATTATTATATCATTCAACACCAATATATGTTAAACAAATGAAACAACAACGTTGCACGTGGCCTAGTATAAAGCACTCGACCGTACCGAACGAATGAAATCTTGATACCGATTGCTTGAGTGTTTCATATTTATTGTTCGTTGGGTGATTTGTAATTAGATCTTCAGCAATCATCACAATGTCTTCATCTAAATTTACTGCCACCCAATCAAATTTGTCTGTGTCTTCTCGAATATTATTTAAACGAAAGACACATTCCAGTTGCGCGAACCATACTCATGGGTTGGTTTTATTGAAGTTTGGGACTCTCACATTGTGTCTCATGTTCATTTCAGTGGAGTCTACTTGTGGATTTACAGTTTGTTCTGCATTTACAGCCATGTTGTCGTGTGCCTGTCTGGAACGCAGCTTGCTCGTGTACTCTTGCATAAGATGCACTGCTTTGTAGTGTTTTTGCTTGATTTTCCAACGGAGTCACCACCTTAGCTATTCCAAGTACTCTTGTTCTGCAACTTGTGATGACGATGTGCGTGTTGGATAAGCCCGTTAATAGTTTTAGTGAATGTTGTTTAGCGTATCTAAAACCAATGTTACTTTGCCCTTTTTTTCTTTTTTAAATTTAGTTCTGTAAGTTTTTTTTACTTTGCGCGTCGGGGTCACCACTTTAGTCGTTTCTTTTGACTATTTTATTTAACATACATTCTTATACAAAACTAGTTTTTACAAACTACAAAATAATACAAGTTTACTCTAGGAAAATTAACCATCAACTAACTGTTGTTATCAATTGCCTCTCATACTTTAATTTGTTGTTAAGGTGACCAGTTTATGTGCTTTTATTTTTTCAGCATTGCCAGGTGTCTTTTTCCTTCAAGAATGATAATTGGATATTTTCTGGGTTGCCATCTTTGTTGTACTGTCGCCACACATTCAATAATTTCTGATTTAGCATTTAGCAAATTTGACAAACATGTTTCATTTTTTTAATTTCACAATAATGTTCATTAAGTTTGTTTTTGCAATTCTTAACATTAGTATAGATAAAAGGAGCACTTTTTAAGTTCTTATCACAAGCAAATCATTAATACCAATACGGATTCACTATTATTTATGAGGTCAAGCTTTACAAAATGACCCAGAATGGGTTTATTCATGCTACTCGTACTTTTAGTAACATAAAATAATAAAAAATAGTAACTTTTAAAAAAACTATTTATGTAAAGAATAGAGTTTTATTAAGTAATAATAATAAAGAATAGAGTTTTATTAAGTAATAATAATAAAGAATAGAGTTTTATTAAGTAATAATAACAAAGAATTATATCAACAAATAATTAAAAAAAAATGCGAGAGCACAACTGCTTGCACACGCGACGACCGAACTTGACAACTTCATACACGACTGCTCAACTCAACGTCGCCAACTGAACTGACTCAACTACTACTGCCAGGGTTGCCATATATGTTCTTACATTTATGTTAAAAATTAACAAATCAATGAAAAATTATGCAAATCAGAACTTTTAATGTAAATAATTATGTATTAATATGATCACTGCATTAAATATTGACTGCAATAAATAAATATTATTTCGGAATTTAGAAATATATTTAAAAAGGTATGAATATCGATGAAGGGTACTTCTGGTACAGTCCATGAATTCAATATCAGGAGAAATTTTCTTCTTCATAGATCTTTTCAAGGGTATAAAACTATTAAAAATATATAACAGAAAAAACTATGTACAAAATATTTATAAAAAAAACGTATAATTTATTTACTTTAATATAAAAATTTTCTATTTAAAATTATTAAATATTCCATATGTAATTAAATTTATATAATATAAAGGAGCTTATTATATTAATATAAAATCTCACAAGAAAGACTCACATTGAAATTTCGAAACTACTAATCAAATTTTTTGAACAAAATGTTTTTTTCTGTAAAACTAAATTTATGTAGAAATATGTTTATTTTCGTTTTAATAATAATATTTTGTGATTAATTTTTTTATATTTTAAAAATATATTCTTCTTTTAATTACTTAAACAACACTTGTGACACGAATTCCAGTTTCGTAGGCACAGCGATTTCACAACAGACTTTTCTCTAATACGCTATATCTATGACGATTCTTAATTATTAAGATATCGGGCTTCACAAATTTGTGTTTTAAAACATCCACAACTGAGATTGTTGGTTATAGTCTATATACTGCTTTAAAGCCCGATGATATTTGGAGAAGCAGCTGTATGTATCGACAGAGTAGTAGAAAAATTTGTTCAAATCGTTATGTCTAGAAAACTTTATTCGTGCCCAATTTATTATTAATAATAACATTTATTAGTCTAACATAACACAATCATTTCATAAACCGTTACCTAATGAGATATAGTAATTACTATTATTATTATATGTTTTAAAATTAATATCATTTAAAACTGTAAGGATAAAAATTTTTAAGATCTAATGGATCCGTGTAGTTATAAAACTTATTCAAGTATATTTATACAACTATTAGTTGCTTAATTATTTCCACTGCTTGTTCAAAAGTCGTATATTGTGGTTTATTGTATAAAATCATTCCAAAGATTATTTTAAAATAAACATTATTTGATACACATATACCTTGATTATAGCTGTTATTAATTTAAAAAGAATATATATATATGTAGGTTCTAGACCTTAAGTTTATTTTAATAGTTAATTTTAAACTAATTTTAATAGTTAATTTTAAACTAATTTTAATAGTTAATTTTAAACTAATTTTAATAGTTATTTTTAAACTAATTTTAACACGCACGCACGAATATGCTTCTTTCCTCTATGAGCTGCTCACTCTCACTTCTACTTTTTACTTCCACTCACACCTCAAAGCAACGGAGTTGCCCTGCGCTCTTTTCTTATGACAGCGACGTAACTCTACTACTTTTAATTACTTTTGCGCCGCTGTCATACCTACTTTCCTACATTCGGCTATCCTGACATGTCATCCGTCCCGGATGACCCCTTAAACGCTTTCATATGTTCTGCTACTGTTTCACATTTCTTTGATCCTTCGCCATTTCCGACTCTCTCAACTACATATCTACCTCGTCTTTTCTTTTCTACTATTCGATACGGTCCTAAATATTTCTGTTTTAATTTGAGTCCTGTTCCGTATTGGGTACGTTTGATGACAACTAAATCGTCTATTTCATAATTAACTTCTTCTTTCCTACCCTTGTTATATGTATTCCTGTTTTCTTCAGCTATTTTCTGTAAATTTTCTTTTGCTTGTTCACGCATTTCATTTCTTCCCTCAAATAACTCTTCCATTACACATTCTGTGATTAACGACCCTAATGCAACATTAGTTTTTATGCGCATCTCCACCCCTGTCAAAATTTTAAATGGAGAATACTGAGTACTCCGAGCTGGAGTGCTATTGATAGCTTGTTGTACCCTTTCTACGTGTTTGTACCAACTTTCTGGCGAGTTCACACATAATTTACTGAGCATTGTAATAACTGTTCTATGTATTCTTTCTACCTGGCCGTTTCCCCGCGGAACGCCTGTGGCTATTAATAGGTGTTTGATCCCTTCGTTCGTACAATACTCTTTGAACCTGCTTGCTGTGAACGCAGTGCCTCGGTCACTGATAATCACAGCAGGATTTCCGAAAACCATCGATTGTTTATTTAATCTTTCGATTACCTCTTCTACTCCTACACTTTTAGTGGGGTATAACCACACAAACTTGGAAAATGAGTCTACTACTGTCAAAATATAGTTGTATTTTTTTTTAGTCTGATCCAACGGTCCTACATGATCGATATGATACGTTTCCAATGGTCTATTACCTTTATCTATAGGATTAAGAAATCCCTCTTTCTTTCCTGATTTACTGTTCACTACTAAACATTCGATACACCCTCTTACTACTTTGTCTACTTTTGGATTTATATTTGATATGTAATAATTTTTTTCAACAATGTCTTGAGTTTTCTTTGACCCAAAGTGGCCCTGACGATGAGCGATCTCAATTATTTCGTTTTCCATAGAGGAAGGAATAACCATCCGTTCTTTAACATTATCTTTGAATAATATATCGTGTTTTAAGTAAAAATCGCCATAATTTTGAGTTTCCAAAATTTTTCGCATAGCTTTCGTCCAGTCATCGCTTAATTGCGCATTCTTTATTCTATGGCACAACGAATCTTCCAGCAACAGACAATAAACACGGCTTAGTGCATCGACATGTTTCATGTTAGTGCCCATTCTATGCTCTATTTCGTAATCAAAATCTTGCAAGAATAGAGCCCATCTTGCTACTCTAGTAGGTACATCATCTTTTTTCAATGTACACGCGAAGGCCTTACAATCGGTAACGATTTTAAATTTGATGCCAAGCAGAAAGTATCTCCACTTTTTTAAACTTTCTATAATTGCTAATACCTCCAGTTCATATGAATGATATCTTCGTTCCGTTGACGAGGTTTTCCGGCTTAGAAATTCAACAGGATGTAACTGGGCATTTTCACCCCACTGCAGCAAAATAGCCCCATATCCATCGCTACATGCGTCCGTATGTACTTCTGTTTTTGCTTTTGGATCAAATAACTTAAGTATCGGAGCGGAAATTAAAGCTGTTTTCAATTGCTGAGCAGCCAATTTTTGCTCGTCTTTTATCTCGAATTTTACGTTTTTTCGTAACAAATCACTTAATGGTTTGGCAATTACAGCATAATTATACACAAATTTTCTAAAATATGATGTTAATCCCACAAATCGTTGAATTTCTTTGTTATCTCTTGGCATTGGAAAATTTCTAACAGCTTTTAGCTTTTCCTCGTTTGGTTTTATGCTCGAGTTTTCAATGATAAAACCTAAAAAGTTAACCTTCTTCTTTAAAATCTGACACTTCTCCCATTTAATGTTTAACCCGAAATTTTGAGCAACCTCCAACACTTCTACTAATCGTCTCATTCCTTCTTCTTCATTTTGGGATGGTATTATGATGTCGTCCATGTATACCATTGCTACACCTTTCTTTATTAATTCTCTCAACACCGCGTAAACGTATCGTGTGAACACCGCTGGAGAGTTTTTAATTCCAAATGGAGCAAATAAAAATTCATACTGTCCGCCATGCGTCACAAATGCCGTAAATTTTCGACTATCTTCTTCAATAGGCACATGAAAAAATCCATTTCGTAAATCCAATGTGCTATATACAACAGCCGACTGTAACTTTTGCAGAATATCATCTATTAGTGGCATAGGAAAGTTATCTCTAATTATTTTCGAATTTAGCTTTCTATAGTCACAGCACAACCTCTTGGAGCCATCTTTTTTCGCTACTAGAACCACCGGCGAGGCATATTCTGACATGCTTTCTTTAATAATACCCTCCTTTAGCCATTCACGTATCTGAGATTCTACAGTCTGCTGATCCGCTAGTGGTAACCTTCTTGGCCTATGAAATACCGGCACTTCATCAGTTAAAATCAATTTCATTGTTACTGGGGAGTTATTAATCTTCTTGTTCGGCTTGTAATGCTTTATAACATTTATTACCTCCTCTTTTCTTTCCTTTGGTAAATGATTCAACTGGCTTTGAACCACTACCTCCGGTTCATCCCGCTCCATTGTCACACAAATGTTATAGAGATTCCTAACTTCATTTTCACATTCTCTTACATTTTCCTTATTAAAGTCGATATGTTTTTCCTGAGACTTTCGCAAAAACTTTACATCATCTGAGGAGATCAAAATGTCAACTATTTCTAGGATATCGCTTCCTATTATGGCATCATATTGGACATCATCATCGTTTAACACATGAAGATTCAAACTGGTTTGGATACCATCTAAATCGACTAATGTTATGAAGCTACCTAATGTTTTAATCTCTTTTCCTCCTATACCCGTCAATGTTTTTCTCCTAGCTTCCAACACAATGTTTCCTAACCGCAAACAAGTGGAGTGTCTGATGATGCAGACATCGCTACCCGTATCGATTAGAGCACGTACCTTCTTCCCATTTATTCCTAAATCTTTCAAAACTCTATTAGTTCCATTTCGACGCACATCATTAATAGTTTCTATAACGAGAGAATTGTTTTTGTTTCTATTTCCTACTACCTTTTCTGGACGTTTACATTCGAATGCTTTGTGCCCTACCTCTTGACATTTAAAGCATTTATAATCTTTGATTTTGCAACTATTAGCAATATGATCCTTACCTCCACACCTATAACAACGCTTTCCATCTTTTCTATCCTCTCTTTCTATTTTTATGTCTTGTACCCAGTATGTTCTGTTTGAAGTTTCCCTCCTGTAGTGTTTAATGACGAGTATGTGTTTCTCCTGATCTTTTCGTAAATACTTAGCTTACTCTTTAAATCATTCATGCTCGTTGCCTGGTATAATATGGTTTTGTTTGCTCTACTGTCTGGAATTCCTTCTATAAAATAGTCTATTATGCTCATTTCATCTAACTGAATTTGATTTGCTATTTCAATAATACTATACAAATATTCTCTTAATGATTCAGTTGGTTTTTTCCTTCGTCCCTTTAACATGGCATGAACCTCGTTCATTGTTAAATTTACTGTGAATTCTGCAATTAATGCTTTTTTGAGCGACACCCAATCCTTTACCTCTAACTGGCTTCTGACAAACAATTTGGCTGCGCCCTTGAGTAGCTGCTTAGCATAGATAAATTTTTGTTGATCGTTCCAGTTTACGCTAATAGCCATTTCTTCTAATTGTTCTACCCAAATCTTAACACTTGGTTGACCCACCCCTGCAAATGTAGTGAGAGAGTCTTCCACATCACGAAGCGTAAACAGTGAACGTTCTTGTATCGTTTTAACAGTTGCCATTTTGTCAAACTGTATTTCTTTGTCTTCTACATTTTCGCGCGTTTCTAATTGATAATGATCAATTAATATTTCTCTCAATTCTTGCTTTTTGCCTTCTGTATTTAAATTTAATCTTCTAAGCTCCCCTCTTAACCCTTCTATACTCAGCGCAATGATACTGTTAATATTCATGGTGCCAGCGTTATTACAATCTTTTCAAAAAAAATTAAAATTATGACTAAAAAGTAAATAAGTTTAAAAAAATAATATATAAATTACAAGCTAAAAAAATTAAAACGTATCAATTTCAATACGCAATCAAATAAAACAAAATGTGTACTTAAACAAAATATAAAAATTTCTGCCAGTCTCCACTGCACCGCCAGCACCCGCTACGCATCACCTTCGTCGCTCGCCAACTTCGTCAGAACAGCTTTTGCGTTGTTTGTTTTACCACCTCAGTGACTACATTCACCTCTGTATGCACTGCGTTTACTACTACGTTTAACAAAGCACATGTACTCACACACAGCTTGCTAACAACTTCGATTACCACGCCGACGCCAACTAATAACAGCAATTCTTCTTTTTTTTTTTCTTTTAATTTGTGTATTTCACAATATGCAGCTCGCTTAGAACGGATCAAACATAATTTTGTTTAACTCCACAGTTAACTAAAATAGTTAGTTTTTCATTGTTATGTTTGTCGCTTTTAGTTTAACTTTATTCAAATTTTTTATTTATTAATTTATGTCACATATTTGTTTTTAATAACTTCAGTGTAAATAACAATTTTCAATCATTCAAAGTTTAAAAATTTCGATGTTTCTTAAATCACACCTTTTGCAATTTTTTTTTTTTTTTACAAACTCGTTCATATATTAAATTTACACATATGCATTACATAAACACCATTTTTTTT